GAAACTTAATTGTCTCATTAATGCATCAGAGGAAGCTTAGTCAAGTACCTCTTCCTCTTTTTTGTTGTTGTTGAGGCTGGAGTGAGGAGGAGTTGGAATTAATTACCAGTTGATTAATGACATAACTGCAAGATCTTAAATATGCCAGGAAAATATGGTGTGGGAAAGAATAATGTAGCACTCATCTATGTTGAGTTTGTTAATAGGAAACAATCTGCCTGGGAGATGTTAGTCTGAGCTAAAAATTAGTTTGTTTGTAGGGAGACAGATCCAGAGCAGACAAATAAAGAGGGTAGAGAGATTCTGCATTAGCAGATCTTACTGCAGAATCTGACTTAACTTGTATTGGTGTTTTTCTATTGTAAAGCAGTTAGGTTGCTTTTGTAGATAAAGATTATGTGGACAGGCCTAGCTCATGACGTTTGCAGGATTACATTTCAAAGAAAGTTTACATAGGTGTTAATGGCTTAAGGTAGGGGGGAAAAGCATTCTTGTAACAGATTTTTGGGAGTGTTGTAGATATCTGAAGACTCTGATCTTTATTTTTTTTAAATATACTGTTACTAATTAATACATGGTCAATTGTTAAAACTGGAAGAACTTTGCCATGCAACCAGTTTATTTGTTTGGCCTTTCAATTAGAGTTGGATTCCAGACAAGTGATTTCCAATAAATTTTAGAATTTGTTTGGGGAGGGGCATTAAGGCAGATCTTGTCTATATGGTACAGTCCTGGCCCTTATGAGTCAATGGGCATACTGGGTGTGATACTAGGTGTTTGGTAGGATGAAGACTGTATTTGTAAGCTCTTTTAAAAATGGATCTGTGTACAGACTGTGAAGCCTTATGTTAAAGTGCTGCTCTGGAGCTTCCACTCTTTGAATTGGTGACACACAATGTGAAAGTTTCAAACAAGGATAACTTTTATCTGTGTTAAGAGGTCTCTGTTTTACTTGCATAGTGATCCTAAACATTCATTTAAATACCCATCACCAACCACTTGATGTTTTACTTCTTTTCCTATTTTCACATTTGTGACTTTATTTGCTTTCTGTGTCGCTTTATTACTTATTTTTCTGTTCTATGTTTGTGTGCTATTAATCAGATTAAGAGTTGACATCTCGGAGAAACTGTATAAGCCTGAGTGCATGCCATTTTTCCTCCTTTCCAACATAAGTAAATATTGTGTAATATTTGCAAAGAGAGCATGACTGTTTCCACTGGATTCATAGATTGCTTTAGCATCTTAAAGCTGAGTTACATGTGGATAATATGCATTTTGGTGTGTTTACTAGCTTGAGTTGTTAGGATAAAAAACATGTAGTCCCAACGTAGTGTTAATGTTCAAGCATTGCTCCTTGCTAATTATCCTTTGTTTAAATTTTTTTGTCTTCCATCCCTATAAGCTGGTTAAATATATATTTATATCTAGGGGTTTTTGTTTGTTTGTAGTGGTGCTGCACATAAGAAAATTCAACCCACCCAAGGATGGAAAACATTAGAGGGAACACTGCTTATAACTACATTTGCATTTCACAGGTGCGTTTCAGAAATGCTAGGCTACTACCAAACATTGTTTCTGGCTGATGCTGGAGGTACATTTCCACCAATGTACTGTTATTTTGTAAATGACATTGAACAATCTTGACACAATGTTGCCAAGTTATCAGCTCTGCAGCGCAATGCATTGCTCTTTGGATTTTACAACTGTAGCAGTGGCAACATAGCTTTATTTTTATCTTTATTAGCCTATTAACTATCAGGAGAATCCTAAGTATAATTGTAGTATACAACAAAGTGGCTGTTATTTTAGAATGAAGTAGCATGAATTTCTCATATGGTGCGCCACTTTCAAGAGTGACAATTAAAGTGGGTGCACTATAGTAAAGAATAAAATTGTCAGACACGTGGATGAATATAATTTGTTGGGGGAAATCAACATGGTTTCTCTAAAGGGAAATCATGCTTTATTAATCTGCTAGAGTTCTTTGAGGGGGTTAACAAACATGTGGACGAGGGGGATCCAGTGGATGTAGTATACTTAGATTTCCAGAAAGCCTTTGACAGGGTCCCTTACCAAAGGCTCTTAAGTAAAATAAGTTGTCATGGGATAAGAGGGAAGGTTCTTTTGTGGATTGGTAACTGGGTAAAAGACAGGAAACAAAAGGTAGAAATAAATGGTAGATTTTCGGCGTGGAGAGAGGTAACTAGTGGGATCCCCCAAGGGTCTGTCCTGGGACCCATTCTATTCAACTTATTTATAAAAGATCTAGAGAAAGAGGTAAACTGTGAGGTGGCAAAATTTGCAAATTATACCAAACTGCTCAAGATAGTTAAGACCAAAGCAGACTGAGAAGAGCTTCAAAAAGACCTCACCAAACGAAGTGACTGGGCAACAAAATGACAAATGAAATTTAATATTGATAAATGTAAAGTAATGCACATTGGGAAACATAATCCCAACTATATATACAATATGATGGGGACTAATTTGGCTACAGCTACTCGAGAGAGAGATTTTGGAGTCTTTGTGGATAGTTCTCTGAAAACATCCATTTGGTGTGCAGCGGCACTCAAAAAAGCAAATAGAATGTTAGGGGTCATTAAGAAAGAGATAGAGAATAAGAATAGGGAATTTCTTCTTTATATAATATCTTTCTGCCTCTATATAAAACCACTGTACGCCCACATCTTGAAAACTGCATACAGATGTGGTCGCCTCATCTCAAAAAAGGTATATTGGGATTGGAAAAGATTCAGAAAAGGGCAACAAAGATGATTAGGGGTTTGGAACAAGTCCCATATGAAGAGAAAGATTAAAAAGACTTGAACTCTTCATTTTAGAAAAGAGGAGAGTAAGGGGGGATATGGTAAAGGTCTGTGAAATCATGACTGGTATGGAAAAAGTGAATAAGGAAAAGTTATTTACTTATTCCCTCAAAAGAACTAGGGGTCACCAAATGAAATTAAAAGGCAGCAGGTTTAAATCAAACAAAAGGAAGTTTTTCTTCACTCAGTGCACAGTCAACCTGTGGAACTCCTTGCCAGAAGATGCGGTGAAGGCTAGAACTTTAACAGGGTCCAAAAAAGAGCTAGCTAATTAATGGAGGTTAGGTCCATCAATGGCTATTAGCCAGGATGGGTAGGAATGGTGTCCCTAACCTCTGTTTCTCTGGAAGTGGATGACAGGGGAGGGATCACGTGAAGATGACCTTTTGTGATCCCTCCCTCTGGGGCATCTGGTATTGGCCACTGTTGGCAGACAGGATACTGGGCTAGATGGACCTTTGGTTTGACCCAGTATGGCTGTTCTTATCATATAAGGTGTATTGGTGATAGGGAATTTCTTCTTTATATATTTCTCCCTTATATATTTCTATATAGTCTAATTTAAGGGCCTAAATTATGAGTGCCTAGGGCCTACAAAGAGCTTAATCTAACCCTGATGACAGCCATTTTGAATGAGCTCAGTTCTTTAGGGCATTCTCTATAAAAGAATATCATCATCATAATAATAAGAGTATGAGCTAAAGAAGAAAATTTTACTTTTGAAGAATAATGGGAGGAAAATGTTTATAAGGTGGTGTGGTCCTCATGTATAATGTATGCACAAAATGTCTGGGGTTTTTAATTTTGGGAAGTTTGACAAGTCTGTATTATTGTGTTCAGATTATTGTGGGGTGAAGCCTGATGCAAGGTACTAAATTCATTAGGAGTCATTTGAAAAAATAATTTTAACTTGGACACTAATCTGATTAACTTTTGAACTTTCAGAAAATAAATTTGGTGCTCAATGAGTAAGTCCTTTAATTTGGGGGACAATATACTGGCTGCATTTTTACACACAGAGGAGCTGAATCCCTTCTTTAAATACAAAACTTAGCTCAGCCTCAATTATGCAACTGGTGCCTCTGTAAATTACCTTTTAAAATAGATGACAATCTGTCATTTTACATCTAGTGAAATGTTTCTCACTTATTTCTTGCCTCTTTCTGCCATTATGTCGTATTATGAGTGAGTTACAATAATTGTTAATGGAAAAGATCTTCCTGTTTATATCCCTTCTTTAAATACAAAACTTAGCTCAGCCTCAATTATGCAACTGGTGCCTCTGTAAATTACCTTTTAAAATAGATGACAATCTGTCATTTTACATCTAGTGAAATGTTTCTCACTTATTTCTTGCCTCTTTCTGCCATTATGTCGTATTATGAGTGAGTTACAATAATTGTTAATGGAAAAGATCTTCCTGTTTATTAATAAAACCTTAAAGTCTGCCTTATTTTTAAATCAGTAAAGCTTCTGTAATTTCTTGGCTGTCTACAGCTTCAGGGAGAAGTCAAAGTACTAGCAGGGTAAGTGCAGTGTGGGAGGAGTTCAGCTGAAGCATAAATTAACTGTATTTCATTTCCCTTTAATAAAGAATTTCAGTTTTTCCACAGCTAACTGTATAATCAGTTTGCTCCCCTGCTGGCTTGCTAACTTGCTGTTGGCTTTGCTTCAATAAGATCAAACCTGTAATGAGGGAAATGGGAGGTTCTAATCACACTGAGGAGAAATAAGCAACTGTGATATAACAGGTAGTTTTAGTTGAGCAGAATTTTGCTATGTCTTTTATGATTAAAAAGTCAAAATATGTTTCCTCCATGCCTACTCCACTTTGTAGACTAAACAGCCGTGTACTCACCAAGCCTCATTAATTGTATTTCGCTGATTGGGTGACACTAAATATTTAAATCTTTCTCTGTTTTCTGCAACCTAGAATTGAATAACTCTTCCCCCCCCCTGAAGTTTTAACATTAAACTATGTAGGAAATCCAGTAACAAGAATGCCTTTCAAGTGTGGTTGCCTGCATGAGTAATGTAACATAATTTTGTTTCTTTCTGCTATAAAATCGTTAGTCAAAGTATGCTTTAATTGTGAAATTATCATACCAGAAGTCTTGGAACAATTACAGAGAAAATATATGCTATAATAACTGCTGAGATTGTTTTTCCTACCTTTACTGTGCCTTGAAATTATACCCTCTATTATGGGTTTGTTCACTAATTCTCCTGTAATTCCACATTTTTTCAACACTCTGGATATGCCAGCCACAAGTTAAACATATAAGAAAAAAACAGTTAAACATACAAGATAAACAAAGATTATCTTTAGTCACCAGACAAAAGGCTCTTCTGAGCAAGCAATCCCTACTCCTCCATTTCAATGTCTGCTCCTCATTCTAAATGATCTACTTTTAGTTGCAGATAACATACGAGGCAGCAGCAGTGTGCAAAAAGAAAACTGTTCTTCTCAAATAAAATGTAGCATACTTGTGGTATTTTCAAAATGGAATGGGGGAATAGCCACTTTTACCTAATGTTTTGGAAATCTTTGCTGCCACAGTGGGAGGAGGAATGGAGAATAATTGGGGGGTTGGGAGGAGGTAAAAGTTCAAATTTAGTTTTCTGCGTCATTTGGTCTCATTCAGAATTGCAGCCATGTGATCAGGGACATTCAGTGTATTGGCTGGGCCAATGTCAAGGAAGACTTGCAAGAAAAGTAAATACCATTAACCAATACAGTGACTTATCTAATTTCTCTAAAGTTTTTCTGCTAGTTATAATCTCTCTATATATCTATATCTATATCTATATCTATATACAGGCAGTCCCCGGGTTATATGGATCCGACTTACATCGGATCCCTACTTACAAATGGAGTGAGGCAACCCCACAATAGCTGCTTCCCCCCAGCAGACCAGGAAGATGCGAAGCTAGCACCCTCCCCCCCCCCCCACCGCGCCCC